AGCATATTGTAGAAAGTAAGTGACATCTTGAACAGTTGTGTTATTACACATCAAGTTAGACATCATAGTTGCCTGGGCTTGTCTGAAGAAAGAGCATATTGTAGAAAGTAAGTGACATCTTGAACAGTTGTGTTATTTCACATCAAGTTAGACATCATAGTTGCCTGGGCTTGTCTGAAGAAAGAGCATATTGTAGAAAGTAAGTGACATCTTGAACAGTTGTGTTATTTCACATCAAGTTAGACATCATAGTTGCCTGGGCTTGTCTGAAGAAAGAGCATATTGTAGAAAGTAAGTGACATCTTGATCAGTTGTGTTATTTCACATCAAGTTAGACATCATAGTTGTGTGGGCTTGTCTGAAGAAAGAGTATATTGTAGAAAGTAAGTGATATCTTGATCAGTTGTGTTATTTCACATCAAGTTAGGGTGGAGAGAATTATTTATTATGATCAAGTAAATTTTAAACTATAATATTATTCATTACTTTACAGAAAATCAACCAATTTATGTAGCATATGGATCACGTTCTTCTTATGGCCCTCCCCCAGTTCCAGAGTCATGCAGGATTCTTGAAAATGGATACGATATTCCATGGGATGTGCCAGGATACAGGAGTAGTGGGGTAAGTTAGACTTTACTAATTATGTAACATGACTGACATCATGCCAGGATACAGGAGTAGTGGGATAAGTTAGACTTTATTAATTATGTAACATGACCAACATCATGTCAGGATTAGTAGGGTAATGTAGACTTTATTAATTATATAACATGACCAACATCATGCCAGGATACAGGAGTAGTGGGGTAATGTAGACTTTACTAATTATGTAACATGACTGACATCATGCCAGGATACAGGAGTAGTGGGATAAGTTAGACTTTATTAATTATGTAACATGACTGACATCATGTCAGGATACAGGAGTAGTGGAGTAACGTAGACTTTACTAATTATGTAACATGACTGACATCATGTCAGGATACAGGAGTAGTGGGGTAATGTAGACTTTACTAATTATGTAACATGACCAACATCATGTCAGGATTAGTAGGGTAATGTAGACTTTATTAATTATATAACATGACCAACATCATGCCAGGATACAGGAGTAGTGGGGTAATGTAGACTTTACTAATTATGTAACATGACTGACATCATGCTAGGATACAGGAGTAGTGGGATAAGTTAGACTTTACTAATTATGTAACATGACTGACATCATGTCAGGATACAGGAGTAGTGGGGTAATGTAGACTTTACTAATTATGTAACATGACTGACATCATATCAGGATACAGGAGTAGTGGAGTAATGTAGACTTTATTAATTATGTAACATGACTGACATCATGCCAGGATACAGGAGTAGTGGGGTAATGTAGACTTTATTAATTATGTAACATGACTGACATCATGCCAGGATACAGGAGTAGTGGGATAAGTTAGACTTTATTAATTATGTAACATGACTGACATCATGTCAGGATACAGGAGTAGTGGAGTAACGTAGACTTTACTAATTATGTAACATGACCAACATCATGCCAGGATACAGGAGTAGTGGGGTAAGTTAGACTTTATTAATTATGTAACATGACCAACATCATGCCAGGATACAGGAGTAGTGGGGTAATGTAGACTTTATTAATTATGTAACATGACTGACATCATGCTAGAATACAGGAATGAGTTAGACATTATTAGTTATGTAACATCATACCCAAATACAGTAATATACAAGTATTTTTAATTACTGGATATGTTTCATGAAGAGGAGATATGAAACTTGTCCATATTTCATTCTAGTCAGTGTTTCAAGTAGTGCTAATTAAATTGAGAATTGGTAGTATGTTTTGTGTAGGTGTTAAGTAAGTTACGACTCGGTAGTAATGTATGTTTTGTGTAGGTGTTAAGTAAGTTACGAGTCGGTAGTAATATATGTTTTGTGTAGGTGTTAAGTAAGTTACGACTCAGTAGTAATGTATGTGTTAAGTAAGTTACGACTCGGTAGTAATGTATGTTTTGTGTATGTGTTAAGTTACGACTTGGTAGTAATGTATGTGTTGTGTAGGTGTTAAGTAAGTTACGACTCGGTAGTAATGTATGTGTTGTGTAGGTGTTAAGTAAGTTACGACTCGGTAGTAATGTATGTTTTGTGTAGGTGTTAAGTAAGTTACGACTCGGTAGTAATGTATGTTTTTTGTGTATGTGTTAAGTAAGTTACGACTCGGTAGTAATGTATGTGTTGTGTAGGTGTTAAGTAAGTTACGACTCGGTAGTAATGTATGTTTTTTGTGTATGTGTTAAGTAAGTTACGACTTGGTAGTAATGTATGTTTTGTGTAGGTGTTAAGTAAGTTACGACTCGGTAGTAATGTATGTTTTCTTTTTTCAGTCAAGTGATGGAAACTACACCAAACTGAAACCTGGCAACCTCCAGATATAAAGACATTTTCATGCTGCTAGAACCAAACAAGTTTCTGTACTCATAAACCTTTAGTTCATATCGTTTTATTTGATTAAATGAGACTACTTGAATGTACTATTAATGGTAACATGAGGTGGTGAACACTAAGAACATAGTTACCAAAACTGTATTTCAGGCTTATGCAGCTGGATCAAGTAGGTAAGTATTAGTGATTTGTAATGAATATTGTACCATTGTATAAGATGGATTTATTTACTATGTCAACTACTGGTTTACCACAGATGTATTGATGACACCCACACTTACGACTAACATAATTAATAATCTTTGTTCCAGGTGGATGCCTGAATTAGGTTTTGTGGGAAATGATAGTTCATTCAGCTGTTTAGAGAAACATCTGAAGTGTTTTTATGTATATAATCCCTTCGATATTATGTATACATTATAGTGGTAACCATAAAAAACTTATCCAAACACGAGTTCCAAGTCTGCATCTTTGAATGAATATTACATTAAGTACATAATCAAATCATTAGTTCTGTAGTGAAATTTCTTCATTTTATGATAACCTCAGGATAAATGCACGCTACAGAATCTCTAGGTATTCCAGTCGCGTGTGTCATAAAACACACTTACAGTCATCACGTGTGTAATAAAACACACTTACAGTCGCGTGTGTAATAAAGTACACTTACAGTCACGTGTGTAATAAAGTACTCTTACAGTCGCGTGTGTAATAAAGTACTCTTACAGTCGCGTGTGTAATAAAACACACTTACAGTCGCACGTGTAATAAAGTACACTTACAGTCACGTGTGTAATAAAGTACTCTTACAGTCGCGTGTGTAATAAAACACACTTACAGTCGCACGTGTAATAAAGTACACTTACAGTGACATGTGTAATAAAGTACACTTACAGTCGCGTATGTAATGAAGTACACTTACAGTCACGCGTGTAATGAAGCACACTTACAGTCGCGTGTAATAAAGTACACTTACAGTCGCGTGTAATAAAGTGCACTTACAGTCGCGTGTGTAATAAAACACACTTACAGTCGCACGTGTAATAAAACACACAGTCGCGCGTGTAATAAAGTACACTTACAGTGACATGTGTAATAAAGTACACTTACAGTCGCGTGTGTAATAAAGCACACTTACAGTCGCGTGTGTAATAAAGCACACTTACAGTCGCGTGTAATAAAGTACACTTACAGTGACATGTGTAATAAAGTACACTTACAGTCGCGTGTGTAATAAAGCACACTTACAGTCGCGTGTAATAAAGTACACTTACAGTCACGTATGTAATGAAGTACACTTACAGTCATGCGTGTAATGAAGCACACTTACAGTCGCGTGTAATAAAGTACACTTACAGTCGCGCGTGTAATAAAGTACACTTACAGTGACATGTGTAATAAAGTACACTTACAGTCGCGTGTGTAATAAAGCACACTTACAGTCACGTATGTAATGAAGCACACTTATAGTCACGTGTGTAATGAAGCACACTTACAGTCACGTGTGTAATGAAGCACACTTAAAGTCGCGTGTGTAATAAAGTACACTTACAGTCGCGCGTGTAATAAAGTACACTTACAGTCACATATGTAATGAAGTACACTTAGTCACGTGTGTAATAAAGCACACTTAGTCACGTGTGTAATAAAGCACACTTACAGTCGCACGTGTAATAAAGTACACTTACAGTCGCACGTGTAATAAAGTACACTTACAGTCACGCGTGTGTAATAAAGTACACTTACAGTCACGTATGTAATGAAGTACACTTACAGTCACGTATGTAATGAAGCACACTTACAGTCACGTATGTAATGAAGCACACTTACAGTCGCGCGTGTAATAAAGCACACTTACAGTCGCGCGTGTAATAAAGCACACTTACAGTCGCGCGTGTAATAAAGCACACTTACAGTCGCGCGTGTAATAAAGCACACTTACAGTCGCACGTTTAATAAAGTACACTTACAGTCACGCGTGTGTAATAAAGTACACTTACAGTTGTGTGTGTAATAAAGTACACTTACAGTCGCGTGTGTAATAAAGTACACTTACAGTCGCGTGTGTAATAAAGTACACTTACAGTCGCGCGTGTAATAAAGTACACTTACAGTCACATATGCAATGAAGTACACTTAGTCACGTGTGTAATAAAGCACACTTACAGTCGCGTTTGTAATGAAGTACACTTACAGTGATATATGTAATAAAGTACACTTACAGTGATATATGTAATAAAGTACAGTTACAGTCGCGTGTGTAATAAAGTACACTTACAGTCGCGTTTGTAATGAAGTACACTTACAGTGATATATGTAATAAAGTACACTTACAGTGATATATGTAATAAAGTACACTTACAGTGATATATGTAATAAAGTACACTTACAGTGATATATGTAATAAAGTACACTTACAGTCGCGCGTGTAATAAAGTACACTTACAGTCGCGCGTGTAATAAAGTACACTTACAGTCGCGCGTGTAATAAAGTACACTTACAGTCGCGCGTGTAATAAAGTACACTTACAGTCGCGCGTGTAATAAAGTACACTTACAGTCGCGTGTGTAATGAAGTACACTTACAGTCGCGTGTGTAATGAAGTACACTTACAGTCGCGCGTGTAATGAAGTACACTTACAGTCGCACGTGTAATGAAGTACACTTACAGTCGCGCGTGTAATGAAGTACACTTAAAGTGATGTGTGTAATAAAGCACACTTACAGTCGCGCGTGTAATAAAGCACACTTACAGTCGCCCGTGTAATAAAGCACACTTACAGTCGCGCGTGTAATAAAGCACACTTACAGTCGCGCGTGTAATAAAGTACACTTACAGTCGCGCGTGTAATGAAGTACACTTACAGTCGCGCGTGTAATGAAGTACACTTACAGTCGCGCGTGTAATGAAGTACACTTACAGTCGCGCGTGTAATGAAGTACACTTACAGTCGCGCGTGTAATAAAGTACACTTAGTCGCATATGTAATAAAGTACACTTAGTCACGTGTGTAATAAAGTACACTTACAGTCACGTGTGTAATGAAGTACACTTACAGTCACGTGTGTAATAAAGTACACTTACAGTCACGTGTGTAATAAAGTACACTTACAGTCACGTGTGTAAT